CCATCCTCTCGTTTCCTTCAGTGGGTGCAATATGAGTCCATCGACTTTGATCACCTCATGGAACACTCCTCGAGCAGTCTATCCAACGCCTACGTAATCCGCAAGGCACTCATCCGGAAACATTACCTCAGTACCACGATCGCGAATTGGATTACCAAGTACCCGGACAGCGTACTGAAGAAGCACGTCAAACCGAGTGTAGAATTCGAAGTTGACTATGCCGAGTTCCTAGACGATGCGCTGGTAGAGGCATGGGAGTTGAAAGAGAGCTGGGCGAGGAACGAGGAGCTTGATGGCGATGAAGATGAAGAAGAAGCGGCGAAGAAGAAGGAGTGGTGGATCTTGAAGCCGGGGATGAGTGAACGGGGTCAAGGAATCAGGTTGTTTTCAAGTGAAGAGGAACTCACTGTCATCTTCGAAGAGTGGGATCCTGAGAGCGATGATGAGGAAGAGGAGGAAGACGGCGATGCGAGAAGCGATGCTGGCGCCTCCAACGCAGACGACCGGAAAGAAGAGAAAGACGAAGGAAACGGTATCATAACATCCCAACTCCGCCACTTCATCGCTCAACCATATATACACCCACCTCTCCTCTTATCTCCGCCATCCCTCGCTACCGCTTCTTCCTCTTCCTCGCCAGAAACTCTCCGCAAATTCCACATCAGAACCTACGTTCTAGCAACTGGCGCTCTGCAAGTCTACGTCTACCGCCCCATGCTCGCCCTCTTCGCCGCACGCCCTTATGTCCCTCCCTGGGACGCTGCTCTCCAGGAGAACCGCGAAGAAGCCATGAAAGCGCATCTCACAAACACCTGTCTCCAGGACAGCGGGGATAGGGAAGGTAGTGTAGGCTTGTTCTGGGACTTGCCAGAAACCATACCTGGACAACCTCCTTTCACCTCTACAAACGGCAAAACACTAGATGTAGGAAAGGACTGGAAGAACCAAGCGTTTTCCCAGATTTTGGAAACTACATCTCAGACTTTTGAGGCGGCGGCGAGGGGTATGTCGATTCATTTCCAGCCGCTGCCTAATAGCTTCGAAATCTTTGGTTTGGACTTCATGGTTGGAATTGAAGGAAATGGGGAGCTGAATACGTATTTATTGGAAGTAAATGCGTTTCCTGATTTCAGACAGACGGGAGACGAACTAAGTGGGATGATTGAGAGGCTTTTTGAGGGCGTGGTGAACAAGGCGGTGGCGCCTTTCTTTGGGCTCAACGTGGAGCAAGAAGGGGATGATGAGATGGTCAAGGTCTTGGATGTTGATCTGGGCCGGCGGTGAGCGAAGCTTAGGGAGATTCATTATAGCAGCACTCCATGTTGATGAGCACAATGAGAGTAATCACTCATATTTTCCTTGATCTATACTATGGTTCCTGTCCTTTCCTCCCATTACATTCATTTCAATCTGCAATCGCTGCATGCTGTGTTGGTGTCTAATGAGAAAGAACTCCCAAACACCAAACTACCGCATACCTTGATCGGCAGTTGAAGTACCCTATCTACTTACTAACCATGGGGCTATTTATATAGCCAGAAAAAAAGAACACCGATTACAATGCCAGAGCAGCAAAGAAGGTCTTACTACCTTCCATTGCTAAACATACATTAAAGGCCGTCAGTATGCGCACCCTTTCGTGATGCTAATGTAATCGTGGGTATCCTGATCTTGTTCTTTGATGTCAAAGAACACAAAAAGCAAACGCTCGCTATGCAAACAATCAGTCACAAAGGACCTGATGCAGAAGAGGACAAGCTAAGATGTCTTCAAGACACCGATGCTCATTCAAGACGAACGGGCTGGAGCACCGTTAGATGCTGCCAAATGACATGGAGGAGGTGGAGTGCTCACTGCGAGCTCGCTTGTCTGCTGCCTCGCGCTCGAGCGGTTCACCGCTGCGCTTCTTGGATGTCTTGACTGAGCTGCTTGAGCTGTGGGCTGACTTGACGCGCGACCAAGAGTCAAATGAGATCTCTGTTGTGGTATTAGCATGCGGGTAAATAGACCCGTGCACAGGATGACTCACCCTTCTTGAGCTTGCGAGTCGTAGGCGGCGGCGTCGTGGCCAACGATGGAGTTGGCACGACGCTCTTTCCCTTCCTACGGCTCGGGGTTGCGATTGCCTCGTCGACTTCGGTGGTGGCCTCCTCGTCATCAGTCTCAATGCCCTGCGCGCGGTTGCGTTCTTTGATCTCGGCCTGGAACAAAAGTTTCGGCTTGATAGACGAACGAGTGAGCGGGCGGCGTGCCTCAACGCCAATTTGGCGGCGCACTTGCTTGTCATCAGCGGAGAGCTCATCGTCTTGCTCTGCATCTGAGGCGCCGGACGGTGCGTCGTCGTGGAACTTGCGGAAGACCTTGCGACCTCGGAAGATGTACACCATGCCTTCGTCACGGTCGGCGGCAGCCTCCATCTTAGCTGTCTTTCGGTCGACCAGCTTCCTTGACTTTTGATGAGTAGCCTTTGCCTTGCCCTTGCCCTTGACAGTGATGAACGGGTTCTCTTCAGTCTGAGCGCCGGGAGTAGGTACCCGTTCCTTGGAGTCGGTGAAGATGGGAATCTTCTCAGTAGTCTCGTCCATCTGCTCAGCAAAGCTCTCTAGGGTGTAGAGGTTCTTTGTCTTGCGGCCTTTGCGCGGCGTCGGCATGGCTTCTTCGATGGTGGATGGGCGATTGGTAGGGAACAAGACGCGGGCGGTGGAGCTGACGTCTTCAACGCGACGCTTGCGGGGTGTCTTGGCTGGAGTAGGAAGCATTCCCTGCGTAAGTCAGTATGTTTGTCCGTACGTGTCATAGTTGGAGGCGCTTTGGTACTCGACGCTGTCGTTTGACAAGCGCAGCGGGCCCAAAGCTAGCCTCCTCACGTAACGTACCGGAGCCATGTTCGCGAACAGAGTACGCCGAGAAGAAGTTGGTGCGGCGTTGTCGGAGTCAGAGTCGAGCGGATTGAGGTCCAAGGGCGCGCGACGGATCGAGCGTGGGGAGCGCGGTTGTTGTGAGGTTACAGGCGAGGATGGCGGCGACAGGGCGAAGGAAGCGTTTGCGCGGGCAGCAGACCGCTTAGACGACGAGGCCGTTGGTGTGATGTCGCGCCTGGTCCGTGGGGTGGACCGCTCCTGTTGGTGAGAGTGAATATCGCGTTGGGCGGCCACTCTGCTCGATCGGCGCGGTGAAAACGGCTCGTAGGGGTCTCCATGCAGGGGCGCCGGCGGGGTGTGAATGCGACGGGGCGGCGAGGGTGTGCGCTCCATATTGTGGTGTGATGCGAGTGTTTGTTTGGGATGGGGCAGTTGCGGTGTTGTTGTAGCAATGTAGGTAGGAATGTGGATATCCAAAATCAAAACAATGGCACTAAGCTTCAATGTTGCAACGCCTCAACGTTCAAAGGGTCCAATTGGTGATGCAATATCGATATGCGCGCAAGTGGAAAGTTCGGTAGGGCTTGTGATGGTGAGGGTGAAGGACAAAGCCGAGTGGGTACAATGGGCTATGTCTCCGATGGGGAAGGGAAGAAAGCGCGAGGTTGGGAAGGAAGGCGCAGATGGCGGGTGCTCCTTCCTTGGCGCAATGCACGCGCGGAACATCAACAAGACCCCTGCTAACCGCTGGCCCCGCCAAACCAAATACGTCAAACACGCCAACGCCTGCCAACTCGAAATGCTGCCCGTGTCACCAAATCAATTCGTCTAGACGCGTCCAACACCATACACAACAAATACACAACGCAATATGGACCCGCCAAACCTCGGGGCGCTTGACCTCTCCGACTCGGACGAGGATGCTTTGTTCGACACGCCGGCGGCGCGCAAGACCAAGCAGAAGACAAAAGATGCGGACAATGATGCGGGGGAGGGTGCAGCGGGCGGGAAGACACGCTCCAAGGAGTCGCATTATACCACAGAAGAGGCGCGAGAGGCGGCATTGCGGAGAGAGTTAGAAAGCATACGAAACGTCAACAAGGTCATTGAGGGTGTTGTGGAAAGCTTGCAGAAAGCAAAGGACAACATGGCTGTAAGGAACAAGTTTAGAACTGCCGCAGTCTTCAGACTGACGATGAATAGACCGTATCACGCACTGTCCAGAACGCTTCTACTTTGCTCCAAACATGGACACGCATACTTTCCCAGACTGAACACAATCAGCGCTTGATCCTAAACCCCCAATGGCAGGGCGCTTCACAAGATCTGATAGACATTGAGGAGGAAGAAATACATCGTCAGCAGGCCGCACAACGTCGGGCAGCGGAAGAGCAGGCACGAAAAGAAGCTGCGGCGAGGAAGATCGAAGAAGATCGTAGGAAGGCAGAAGCGGCCCCGAGACCAGGCACACGAGGCAGAGTGAGGGGCGGCGCTAGACCACGAGGTGCTTCGACATCGTCCACAGGGAACTACGTTGGTGTGGGTGGACAAGCAGGACGTGGTGTTAGTCGCAGCGATTCAACGCGAGGTCGTGCAGGCAGTGGCATTGGACGAGGACTGCCACGGGGCAGGGGAAGAGGTCTGGGCTGATGAATGTGCATGCTCCAGCATCTTCACCATACCTCGAGTCGACATCGAATAAATACGTGAAAAACTCGACCGACAATGAACCTCGAAACGTAAACTTCGTAATTTCAGGGTCTCGAATGCTCGAATCAATGTGTACTATCGAAAATGCATCGTGCAATCCAAATCGGACTAGCTGAGCATGCCACTCACCCAAGACTGGGGTGCTTGGTAGCTTGTCGAGGCACGGGACTCTTCTCCAGAGCAACCGGCACTAGAATTTGTACCTGCAGCTCGATGCAGTGAGCGCGCCGGATTGGTGATGCGGGTGCATTTCTCGAAGCGGGAAAGCCTGAGAACCCCACTTGTTGTCAGTTGGACCCCGCCGTACAATTGCTTGAGACCTTGCGACCGTCCGGAGATTCAAATAGATTCTCCGTTTCCTGCTTTTCGATCTCTTTTCTCTTTTTCCTTCTCTTCCATTCTTCTGAAATTGGACGTCTATATCACACAATGGAAGTTCCAACAGCAACGTCGCTACGCGACATCTACCCCGAGGACGCGCTCCCCGTCGAAACAAAGCGATGGGAGAGCCTACTCGCCAAGTTCAAGGACCTCTACGGCAAGCAAGCAGACTTCGTCGCTAGGAGTCCTGGACGCGTCAACATCATTGGCGAGGTAAAATACTTGCACGATTCCTATCACTATTGACTGACGATTGTAGCACATTGACTATTCTCTGTACGAGGTACTGCCCATGGCTATCACCGCCGACTTCATCATGGCTGTTGCTGTGCGACCGACCGAGGAGAAGCCGCGCATACGGATAGCAAACCTCAACTCCGAAAAGTTTCCCACCCGCGAGTTTGACATTCCCGAGGGAGAGATTCCTATCGACGCTTCCGAGCATGAGTGGACCAACTACTTCAAGTCCGGATTGAAGGGCGTATCACAACTACTACAGAAGAAGCGCGGCAAGTTCACATCTGTGGGTATGGACATTGTTTGCGACGGCACAGTACCAAGTGGTGGTGGTCTCTCCAGTTCGGCGTCCGTCGTTTGCACAAGTTCTCTTGCTGTACTAGCTGCGAATGGCGAGGAGAAGATCGACAAGACCGAGCTATGCGAACTTGCGATTGTTTCTGAGCGCGCAGTCGGTGTCAACTCTGGAGGGTGAGTTTGACCAAGTAGTTGAAGGTGTTATGGCTAACAAACCTATAGTATGGACCAAGCAGCTTCCGTCTTCTCCCTCCGCGGTTCCGCCCTCTACGTATCTTTCAAGCCCACCCTCAACTACACAAACATCGAGTTTCCGAAAACGGACCCTGAACTCGTCTTCGTTACCGCCCAGAGTTTTGTCGCCGCAGACAAGCACGTCACAGCCCCTGTATGCTACAACCTACGCGTAGTAGAATGCACACTAGCAGCAGTCTTCCTAGCCAAAGCCTTCGGCCTGAAGAAAGATCTCCCAACAGACTCATCTCCCCTTGGCGTCAGCCTGCGCGGCTTCCACGACACCTACTTTGAAGACAAAGAAGGCGTCTCAGACAACACCAAGATCTCTGTCTCAGAGTTCGAAACGCAACTCACAAAGCTTATTCAACACACCGAGGACTACCTTCCCCAGGAAGACGGCTACTCGCGCCAGCAGATCTGCGGCCTCCTCGGCATCTCCGAAGACGAACTTAACCAACGCTACATGTCCAAGTTCCCCGTCCGCGCCGAGAAATTCATGCTTCGCCAGCGTGCCCTACACGTCTTCACCGAAGCCCTCCGCGTGATCAAGTTCCGATCACTACTCGCTTCACCGCCGTCAAATGACCGCGCGTACTTGCAATCACTAGGCGATCTTATGAACACAACACAAGACTCGTGTCGCGAGATCTACGACTGCAGTTGTCCTGAGCTCGACGAGTTGTGCGACTTGGCGCGTGCAGCGGGAAGTTGTGGTAGCAGACTTACTGGGGCAGGCTGGGGTGGATGTAGTGTGCATCTTGTGCCTAAGGACAAGGTTGAGGCGGTTAAGAAGGCGTGGGTGGACAAGTACTATAAGAAGAAGTTTCCAGATATTACTGAGGAGAAGCTCAAGCAGGCGGTTGTTGTTAGTGAACCCGGAAGTGGATCTATGCTTTTCAAGGTTACAGGGGAGAAGCTTGCTTAGGTGGGGGATGAGGTGTTGAGTGAGGCAGTTGGCATCTTTGGGTAGATAGTACCCTTGCGTGGTTCAGACGTGGTAACGTCAGACCAGGTCAGCCGTTTGAATACCTGTGGTCACGGCTTAGAATACGATACAGAGACACCAGGTTTGTCTCGTTTACCTTCTCACTGAGAGTCAGAATATGGAATGTTTCGCACCACAATCTTGACGTTCTTCAATATGCAACACATGTCACATCAATCCCAGCTTTGGCTTCACAGGATCGCACGCCATACAGAACATCATGCGGACTGTACTGCATCAACACCACGATAGCTTCTACGAGGCGCCTTGCTATATCCTCACATCGATCATCTCTTCCAAGGCGGCGGTCTCAAAGGTCCTGCATCCAATAAACATATCCAATTTTCTACATTCCGATCAGGACGTTGCAACTCCTGTCTTCACATCTACACGCCAATCACAATATCGACAGGTAATCCCCACCCAGCGACCTACCACCAACATGCCTAGACGCAACCCCAACCGTCGTAGAAGACCATCGCGAAAGAGGCATTCTCAGGAACCAAGTCTTGATCGAGCAGGTCATTATCAGCAATATAATAATACCATGTACGCAGACGGAGATGTACTTGCCGCAGCACGTTTCAGCGAAGATAGCATAGGAAGACAACTCGGGTATACGATTCCACCACCACAACAGATAAGTGGCGATATGACACCAAGGTGGCGGACAGGATATTGGTATACATATACGCATCCTGTTACACGCGAGGATGTAGTTGTCTGGATTGGTGGTGATCAAGGGTTCACACACGGCTATGGGTATGAGTATGCTGGAGAGGAAGAGCACTACCGTAACGGAGACTATGTGATTGGCGCGGGGTTTTGTGATGAAGAGTCTGCGACATGTCATCAGAATAGGCAGAAGTCTGCTGAGCTACCGCTGTTTGGATACAGGGAAGGATATCACGATCCGATTCTGAAAGATCAGACTGAGGATTGGTGGAGGTTGTTTGGTCATGACGTACCAAAACAGTTCATCCTTGGTGCCGAGTCCACTCGAATGGTGGATAAGGAGTGGAACGTTGCGGCGTACTTTGCGCCTTATCGCACACCAAAGCAGGAGTCGTGCCCTAGATCTGAAAGAGAATGTCGCAACGGGAAGGAAATTGCTTTGAGGAAGAGTGAAGAATCCGGAAATGAGCTCTCGACAGGCGAGGCTGGTGGTGGAATATCGCGGGCATGCAGGGGAAGGGATGATTGGGTATGTGACTTTTGTGGAGTAGAGTGCTTTTGTTGGACTGTTGAAGCCGATGTGACCGAAATTTGGTGACATCGTCGAAGCTGAAGGCTCGTTTGTAGAACGCGTGCCGATACCATGGCGATACTGGCACGTCAAATCTAGCCTAGTAACTATTGAGAGCTTGTCCAAACATTAGCATCTGATCGGTTCTTGCTGAAAGCACCTTTCTGATGCACGATTCCGGGTCGCTAATAATTTCTATCCAAAGTGGTTGGCGAGTGCTGTGAGTATGCTCCAGTGCCTCCACGTGGGGAAGGCGTCGAGGCGCAGGTGACGGTGTTGTGTCAGGCAGGCGGAGCACTGCGGAGAAGTACAAGGCCGATACCTCGCGTACGGTCTTGTACTGAGTGGCCGAATCCATGTGGTTGCTGGGGGACCACATGCTCTAGTCCTGGGCTAAACGACTCTCGGTCATTTGGAGAGTGAGATGATGTTGCGGCGCGTGTGGACGGTGTATAAATTAGGTTCGTGATTCTTTGCATCACAAAGGTCCGTGTATTATCATGTCATATGGTGAGATAGCTTGTTGAGGATGCGAAACGGTGTTAGATGATTGGTGTAATGATAAAAGACGCGCGTAATCTCATTCGTGCAAGCATTTCCTGGTGTGTTGCCTCCAATACTGGCACGGAGAGTCGAAACACCTTGCATTTGTCTGTGGAGGGTGAGATCAATTTGCTCAAGCGCCAGTGACGCAGGAGCTTGTATGGGAAGATAATGCTAGAACGAGACCGGAAACGTATAATCTCCCCTCAACCCGAGTGACCCGGAACAAGCAACAATGTGGAGTGGTAAAGGTCTGCACCGTGGTTGACGCGAAGCCACATTTGATGAGGCTGATTGACTCTTGTGTAGACTTCATCCTGCCTGAGAGGACATAACAAGCCATTCCTGGCAGTGTTCCGTATGGTCGTGAGAACTTGACGTTGAAGTCACCAATGGCTTGCATGAGGCTTCTTGTAGATAAAGTTCAGACGGCAGTGCGGTGGATCTTAAACCAGCAAAGTGTGTTCCTATATTGTTCCAAGGTTGGGTCAGCTAGGTCAGGCATCATTCAAATTGGGCAGTCGATGCGCTCAAGTCTACTTGTGCTGCCCGAGCAGGATACCGATATGGTTTCAATCAGCTTGATGGATGATGCGGCTGTCGTCGTTCAATTTGAGCGCCGGTGACCAGAGTAAGCCGAGGTAGCTGAGAGGTGCACGTTTTGCGACAGCTGCAAAGGACCAGGCCACGCGAGAGAAAAGGAGGCATCAGCGTCTCCATGGAGAAGGTTGTGGCGTGATGCTCATGCATGCGATTCAGACTTGAGTGTCGGCTTGCAGCGCAGTCGATATGGAACGATTTGATATAGGGCATGGACCTCCGTGTGGGGTTGCCCTGGTAGCGCGCCGCCAGAGAAGCGTGCCTTTTGCAACAGCTCGCTTCGCCCAGCTCCAGTACATCCACATACCTATCGTATGATGTAGGCTTTTCGCGATTGCTGGTGCAGCTTAGAAAAAAATCTTGTCACCGCATGCCTCGTGCGCGACACATATAGCTCTACCAAAACACCGTACCTTTACCAGCCGTTCCTGCACATCCCGAATTGCGACGGCTGCCGTGTGTGCTTCGTTACTGCGCGTGCCACAAACTAAATGCCTGCGTAACATGATCTCGGAGACCAGAAGCCGTGGTATTATAGGTAAATACGTCAAATACGGAACGTATGCTACACAACTCATGTCACTGACCATCAATTGGTCGGTCAACACGACCTGAAATTTGACTCATCTGAGTAAACGTCAAGATGGCGAATACCAGTATTCTCAGGTTGGGCGCAGGATTCCTGCTTTACATACCTACCGAGACGCTGCAGTCGGCATCGTTGTGTTTCGTCCGTATTAGCTTTTAGTATGGTTCAATTGGATGCCGTGGAAGACATCGATGACGGAAAAGACACGCATTGTTACCTCAAGATTCGACAACACTGGAAGACAAGGCATAAGGCGAGAAGTCATACGATCGGCTCAAAGAGTCTGGAATACTTTTGACTTACAGCCTCTAGCTTGCAAAAACCTCGCCATCTACAGCGGAATAATTCTTTTCGGCCCCTCTTAGAGTCAGCCCCATTGTTGGCTCCGTAGCGATCATCGACCTCGCGTATCCATCGGATCCACTAGAATTCGTCTGGAGATGTTCGCTCGACCATCGTAGGGGTCAGTCCACTCTGCAAGGGGAATTCGAATCATACCACAACTGGGTGATATACTCTCCATAGACATAATTGATCCGAGCTTGTACGCCTCAGCACACAATGGGTCCTACACGGTAATTTGCATTCCATGTTGCCTACGGATGAATCGACTGGAAACCGTTACTAGCCATCGCTTGTCCACTTACGCTCCGAGTATGAACGCGACAACATGCCACTTGTATGCTCCACTGCCGAAACTGGTAAGCGTATCGGGGCCACAAAAAGGTTTAGAGCGTCTGAGATATCTGCTCGTTGCAGAGACAGCGATAGGCATTGCAATCACAAGCTTCCAGCCACTGAATAAGCTTGCTACTCCAGATCGAGGTTTCATTAGGTGAATCTCTTCCAGAATACCAGAGAGTCATAAGATACGAGCTATATTACGTCATGATGAGCGAGTCTCATGAGCCATAGGAGGCAATTTGCTCTCCCGGATTGTTACTTATACTCACACCGCTTGATAATGGACATACAACATCTCTTTGCACCGATCTGTGCATAAACACAATTACAAGTCTGCTCGCCCTACTAAATGCTGTACTTTTGAGCTTGCCATGCACAGTCGACATACTTTATCCTTTTCAGAACCCACCCCGATGAGCATATGAACAACGGCGTGTCACACAACAGTACCTACACGCTAGACGCTGGACAAGCTACACACATTAGACCATCCAAATTTCATTGAGGAACGCTCGACAATGGGGCAGTCTCGAGAAGTTACAATATTCCTCAGCTTACCCGCTGCATTGCGAGGGCGAATCTATGCCGAGGTTCTGATATCACTCGAGCAAGGCCCAGAGATACTCCGCAGTTGCCGCCAGGTTGAAAGAGAAGCCCGGAAGTTCTTATACCAAAGACCCGTCAACTTTCCGACTCAACGTTCGATGTATGAATGGTTAGATGGAACACCTGAAGACCTCCTCGCCCAGGTTATCGATATCTCGGTGGCAGTTCAAGATATCGATCTTCGATCCATACTACATCCTCACGCGTCAACTATACTATCATCTGACCCCCATCAACTGTTTGCCTGGGAGCTGTACGACGCGGAAGTCAGTCGATTCACGTTGGCATTAAAGAGGCTGCCGCACGTTGAGACAATTGCTATCCAAGCATCCTCGAACTCTCCATCTCACCTTTATGACGAGTTCGTGTCTAAGATCTTGATAGAGTCGAGGTCGAATTTGCCGGATGCCAGAGTAGTACACGTCGTGAATCTGGGTTCACGTAATACAGTGGAGTGTTGAATAAGCTGCGAACTGGCTGTTCAGCATCGGCGGAAGCTTTACAGGGTTCGGGCTGATTCCACCGTTGGGGAAACTGCCCCCTTCATTGGTTCGGCTCATCGCGAGGCTGATGAAACTAACGGACGCCTACCGAACCTTGATGTAGAGGCAGTGTGATCTTCGCAGAGATCTGATGCAGGAGCGTATCGATACCCAAGCTGTCAAGCATCGCATGGAAGCATCCTATGTTGCTGGTGCTAATTGAATGTTGCGGACTGGTCGAGTTGGATATACAGGAACATCTTGGTTGAAGTATGAGGATTGTACGTCATCGCGTGTGTCTATCGAACTCGAGTTGATGCTCATTCGGCAACTTCCGCTAGTAGCTGGCTTGTGAGAGATCAATCCTGATTGTTTCGAGGTTATCCAAGCTCAGAACTGGGATGCATTGAACGAAGATATTATAAACGAGTATGCGAAAGGTGAGATGCCCAGGTCTTTTGATGAAGCTAAGACTGTTGGCACCAAGGTTATGCCTCATCAGCTTATCTGCGGGTTCGGGTTCGGGATCGTATAGGAGCGGAACGTTAAAAAGACATGCTGGCACTTCTAAGTCGCTTGAATTGTGACCTCGTGATACGACCTATCACATCCAAGCTATCTTCTGCGTGCAGTCAACCACTGCACGTCATTGTTAATCGCGATATTTCATCGTTTTTTTCTTTTTTTCTTGAGCTCATATCAACGTATACCGGGATGTGACAGTGTACTAGAGTTGCATGATGAGATCGTCGCGAAGATGATGAGGCGTTCTAGCATCACCCTTGGGTAAGTGTAGATGCTGGTCTGTTGTAACTTCATGCACTCGGTGACAGTGACTGGCAGTGCTGACTAGTGCGTATTTGTCAGCGCCGCTGGGCGGGGATCGGCCGTTCTGCTAGTAACGAAAGATCAGACCGATCGAGCATATGTCAGCAAAGTATTCCCTTGATCAGCCAACTCACAATGTCAAGTGCTGGTGTCGAAAAGCGTGGCTCTGCCTCTACTGTACGGGTAAGCAAGTTTTGATGTTTTCTCCCGGTCTAGTTCATCCGCGGCTCCATGCATCCGGCAAGGGCGCTCCCGACGCGACTCAGCCTCAACATCCGCGGAGAGCTATCTAGCATCGAATGTCGCTTCCAGAGCATTTTGTACGCGCCGATTTCCAAACTGACGCGTCTTTCAGGCTTGCGATCTGTGCCGCAAACGAAAACGAAGATGTGTATGGAATTCCGGCCCCCAAGGCTGCTCGCCATGCACCAATATGAAAGAGACGTGTACGACGACGTACACGCGGAAGCAGAGATCGAAACCACAGAGAGGGTATGATCTGAGTGCGTGCTCCAGTTTTCCAGTGTAGGCTAACGATGGTTTAGTAATCGCATAGTCGAGTATGAGAGTCGAATCAAGAGATTAGAATCGCTTCTACATGAGCGGAACGTCACACAACCTGAAATACGTCAACAACCGATCATGCAGGTCACAGACGCTTCAGTTCCGCTCTCGAAGTGGGTTGAATCATTGCGCCATGAGGTAGAAACCGGGCCTCAACCTCAGCTTCCGGACCTCAATCCCTTCGATCTAGAGGGTCTTTTGCAGGGCAGCGACGGAGTATTCGCAGATGAACTCGGTGCTCTGTCTATGGGCGACACTAGTCAAGGTTCTTCAGCATTAGACACTCCACTCCCGATTTCCTTAGATGGCATCCAGCCATCAGTCGACTTTCAGGAGGATGCTGCTTTCTTGCAGGGCGGGCATTTCGGGCCGAGATCGACCGAGGGGCTCAGTCCGCTCCCCCAGCCGACAACAACCAGTCCTGATAGTGATTGGTATCTCCCACCTCCAGAGCTTGGAACATCACTGCTTGCAGAGTTTCTGACAGACTTGAATACCGCCTATCCACTCTATCAGCCACATGTTATTGCCGACCATCTCCGGACGTGTTATGCAGGGCTGTCCGATGGCGCGGCAGTTGCTTGGACGAGCGCGTACATTGTCTTCGGTATGGCACATCATCTCCGCGGAATGAGTGTGACTGGGAACAGCTACGATATGGACATGGCTCAGTATTATCTCGCCCGCGCATATTCCACACTGAACACTCTTCTTGCGGCGCCACCGTCACTAGGACAAGTACAATGTCTTGTCGGATTAGCACTGCTCATGCTGGCCAGTCCTTGCAGCTATAAACAATCAGCGGGACACTTCGTCTCCACTGCACTACGTGTTATTAGAAGTCTCGTATACCAAGAGGAGAAGGACTGTCTCACTATAGAACAGCTAGCCAATAGCGCACAACAGCGTCGCGTTTTCTGGATCTGCTTTGTCAACGACACCACTCTGGCCATTTTGAATAACACACAACCTACACATAAACTCCAGGATATTGCCAATTGCTCTGACTTTGTAGCAGACGAACTCGGTGCACTTACTGCAGCCGAGGGTACGTGGCGAGTGCTCATATTTTGGCTGTTCACCAGGATAGCTTTACTTCAAGTCGAGGCTATCGATCAGGTGTTCTCCCGCAAGACAAGCAACAACACTCCTCTCGACTTGAGCGCTGCTACTTCCATTGTCTTCGCACGGCTGCAGGCGTTTCGCGAGCAACACCATATCTTTCACCTTTCCGCTGGTCAGATTCAACAATTATTATATCGGGCAGATATTTGTCACTGTATTGCGCTTGAGGCATACTACTTCGCTACTATATATCGGCTGCACGCGTTCATGGCCATGGATATAAGCTCGGAGATCAACCCTTTTGAGATGGATGGCTTGAGTAGGATGTCGAAGATGAAGCAACATAAATCATATTCGGAGGCGCGAAGACTTTTGAGTCTGTTGCCGGTAGCCCCGCGAGGCAATGTCGCCTTGTACTGGTAAGTGATATGCACGAGAGCTTCCAAGCTCAGCCGTGTAGTCAGCTACGACAAACAGTCGCTAACCACTTTGTAGGATGATACATTCCATTCTCATCGCAGCGCTCGTTACTATTCTTGCACACCATATTCAGAACCCAATGGCAGACGCCCTTTCGCCTACTGAATTGCGCATTTATCAGCAACTAGTTGCCGACCTCGATATCATGGTTGGTGCAGGCGACAATCCGGATTTGGCAGACAAGGCGACGTTCTGCAAGCGCTTATTATCAGCTTACGAAGCAAGATTCCGTGCTCAGAGGACAGGGGGTCCTCTACGCAGCATCGCAGTGACGAGCTAAGAAAGACTGCGTTGTTCGTTCGCAAACTCGCGTCAAAGGAATCAGTTGTCCTCCACCGCTTCTGTCATGTAAACCCGGACAGTGAATCGCTATTGCAGATACCCATCTAGATACAAAGCATGCAAAGCGCGGATTGCCTTGTCGTCCTTAACCCAGCTATTCGACCACCGGCACAGTTGTCGTACGTGGCTGAGCGAGCTACAGATCATCTCGTCCGTCCTTGAAGTTATGGTATGTCCCTCTCAGCTCTCGACGCAGTGTGTCAGCTTGGTATCATTGAGCACAAAAGTGGAGCTACTTAGGTGACGCTAACCCAACAAGCGCCAATCTCGGCTCACGCTTTCGCTCAGCTGCACCTGTTCGTCCTTAGAATCTAACAGTTCCTTGTCACTCACAATCCCATCGCATGTCTAACACTTTGATTGACCATCGCACGTAATAATTCTTGATGCGCGACACCGGTACCTCGCCTTATAAAGCCGCATGCGATGCGGAGAGAGCTTCAGCAGCCACCATCCTGCAGTCGGGCCACACAACCTATATCAGGTAGCAACCCCATGGCTAGTAGTATCACAACCCGCCCAGACCGGTCAAGGTGTTTTGCGCTGGGTTAATTAGATGGCGTTCATCGGCCAATCAAAGGCGGAGGGTGTGCGAAGCACGGCTAGGATTTGGGGGCCGACACGACAGCCTTGAGAACGCCTCTGTGACGATAAAAGTAGCGTGTACCCAGCATGGCTTTTGCCATAAACCAGCATATGGTTTAGCATCTATCGTTTTCAACAGGCTCGCAAGCTTTTCTGCGTAGAAGGCTTCCGAGTGCAAATCTCTCAGCCTCCGGCGAACCAGAGCTTCGCCGCCTTACGAAACCCTCGAAGCTTCATTGTGCTTACTGAAAAATGGGATTCAGGCGTAAAAATGACGAGCCGGACCCACCAGATCCAGTCTTCGACGAAGACCAGGACCTCAGCGAAGTTTGGCCGCAAGTCGTGCGGGAGTATGAGAACACCACCAAAACGAAGCTAGATCCGAAGATGACCTTCGAGAGCTTCCAGCTGCAGATCGACGCAAGCATCAAAGAGTCCACTACTAAGAGTCATCAACATGCTCGGAAGGTCCTCAACAATGTTGGAGTCTTTATCGAAAAGTTTGGGAGCATCCTCGCACAAGGAGCAGGTACAGTCTTTGGGCCCACGGCTCAATGCTGGAATGCAATAAGCTTCGTTATCCAAGCAGTACGGGGCTTTAACGACATGATGGATGGGTTCGTCACTTTAATGGAACGCTCATCAGCCTTCCTGCGGCGCCTTGTCCACTTTATGCAGCAAAAGATGGGCACAGATGGGACCTATCTACCGCGCGATCTTCGTAAGCCGGCATACGATATTCTTTCTCTATTCCTGCGCGTACTCCAATCTTCATACAAGCTGGCGACTAGCAAGAGAGAACATCTAAAAGCTATGGCAAAGGTCATTCTGTTCAACTCCGACGAGCAGGTTGCAGTCTCACTCACGCTTATGGAAGGTCTTATTAAAGATTTCACCATGGCTGAGATTGATGAGATCCTGTCGGACGTCAGAGGTGTAGCAAGGCATCTTGACAAATCTGAGGAAGAAAGGAAACAATACGAGGGAGAGGCTCGTGAATATCTCCAGGAGATATGCAAAGTTGGCGATCAGGTTCTTAGCATTACTCAGCAGATGAAGACTACTATGGACGGCCGAGCTAGCAAGGATCAACATAAAGACAACCTGCTCAAAATAGCAAACAGTCTGGGACTGAAGAAGGGTGACAGCTGGGAGACCTGGAACAAGCGGTACAGTGAGCTCTGCAAGACTCATGTGCCTGGGACAGGAGAATGGCTCAGCCAAGACGAGCCTGTATTCATCCAGTGGGCTGATCTCGATCAGCATGACAAAAAAGTCCTTTTCCTGACGGCTGACTCTGGCTTTGGCAAAACGCATCTCTTCAGTCACGTCGTTTCACATCTCGAAAAGAAATGCCGGACTCCGCGTGGACCAAATCAAGCTTACCTGGCCTATTACTACTATGGTGAAGACAAGGACGACTCTCTCGAACGGTGCATAGGATCTATCATTTACCAATTCGCAGCTGCAGATATCGGATATGCTGAAGCTGTCGTTGAAGAATGCGGGCGATCCTCAAGCATTGCGCGAGCCGAAGATCGATGGGAAAATCTCGTGTCAAAGCTACAGCATGCCATGAAAGGGACGTATTTCTTATGTATGGACGGTTTTGACAATCGTGGTCAATTAGACGCAGCGGGAACAATGGTGTCGACTATCTCACGTCGTGCTGTATCTCCAGCCGAGTCCAAAGGTGTCTCTCTACGTCTCTTCATATCCGGAAACGAAGACGCACTTTCTGAACTCTCACAAGGGGCCGAAATTATCCCCACCATTGTTCTTGGACCGCGTGGACACTTTGCCCGGCCCCCAGAACGAGCTGGTGACGATCTTGATATCTCATCGCCGTCAGAAAAACTACCAAATGCAAGTGATCTGAGAGCTGTCACAAGGGCGCGGATTAAGGATGTCTGCAAGATCAAACCCGATCTAAAAGCAATGCTTAGCGAAACGAATATCGAGCTTCTGCTGGAAGGCATCCGTGGAAACTATAAGAATCTTGAAGCAAAGATTACGGAGATCAACGCTTGTGACACCAAAGGAAAGGTTCAAGATGTTATTAATAACACGAGTGCCGACATGGATACTGTTCGAAGAAATACAGTGAAGGCACTAGATGCCCTTCTGACTTCACGTCAGGCTCAGGTACTTAACGGACTTCTTGTGTGGGTTGCTGGCTTGAGCTACCAGGAACCATCGACCAAGTTACTCGAAAGCGTTCTCTTTCTTATCCTTGGAGAAGAGTTCCTCCTTGCCGATCAGATTCGTACCACTTATTCGCCTGTGCTTGAAGTTGACAAAGAAGGTATAGTGGGTCTCAAAGACGGCATGAAAGATATCCTGTCCGCAAGCGATACGTCAGGCTCAGAATCAACGCTCTCTCAACTGCATGCCGAAGCAATCGGTAGTGCCGAAGTCAATCTCTGTCGTCGTTTCATCAAGAATGCTTGTGATCCGATAGATTACGCCAGATTCAGATTCGATGAATTCTTCGATGCCATGGCACAGAAAGTCCACATCCATCTTGACGGCGATAACGACGTGAACGTCGCTATCCTGGGCTTGTGTTTTCGTGGTCTTTTTGAAAGCCGGAAAGACGGAAAACTCGAAGAACTGTGCGACTATGCTTCAAAGTACTTCTACTATCACCTCAAGTTTCTAGTAGAGGCTCTCGACAATGACTTTGAGCCAAGTAGGAAGTTTTTGGCTGACATTGGGATGAAGGTGGTCGACCTGTTCTACGATTCCAATATGATCGATGTGTGGTTTATGGAGAAGAATTTGAATTGGCTGAAATGTGACTTTTTGTGGCAGGAGGACTACATTGATTCTCTACTGAGGTTACTGAAGAATTCGCAAGTAGCCAAAGGCTATGCAAGAGATGCAGACAAGAGTAAATGGGTCCAGGCTGCCATTTCCGGCAACGCAAACAAATACTCTATTTTCGAACGTGTCGCAGCACGCTTCGCAAGCCATTGGTTTAGCTCGACTGGGATAACAGAAAGAAACTATCTTTGGATTTCTTACGGCATAGTTGCCAAGGTAAGGGCTTCGTTATTGAGGCAAAGGGTTGGCTGACAGCAGTGAACAGGTACATAATCCAGATAAACCCTTCGAAGAATGGAATCCGCCTTCCCTTGTAGAGGCTGATAAGTTCATCTGCTGGGCAAAGGAACATATAGACACCAACATCGACAGCTTCACCTGGGATTCTCGCGTGGGTGCGACGTACATCGTGTTTGAGCATTACAAGGCAGCGATTGTTGCGTTGGATAGAGCCGAGCAACACTCTCAGACGAGCTGGGGGCTGTTATTCAATCTAGCAAAAGCCCATGAGAGCGAAAAGAACTATCGCACGGCAATCAAGTACATGCAAGACTTCAAGTCGTTTAACAAGTCATCTCCCGAGACGGACGATGATTACAAGACTGCTGGCTGGGAATTGCTTTTGCTGGAAGCAAATTGTTACCGACGGTGTCGTGAATACGACTCAGCCATCAAGTGTTTTCAGGATCTCTTAGACCAGGATATCGACGACAATTCCGATATGAGCTGGACTCATCTCAATGCTTTGGAAGGGCTCTTCACGACCTGGACTGAAGCAAAACGCTACCAGTCTATCACAGAATTTGTTCGCCAGTGGAAAGATTCGGCAGCCCAAATCCGTGGCCCCACTTATTGGCTGCGAAGGGCAGCATATTGGGATGATGTCCATACCAGCATTATCGTCGCCGCAAAGCTCGCCAGAGTCGTGGAAGAGATCATCTCTTTGTATCAGGAAGCTATTGATTGCAAGCTGGTTGACCTTTCCATGGCGGATGAGCAGGGGATAGATATGTCTGCCGATGTAACGGAGCAGCTGCAGTACTTTCAAGCTGTTCTTAGGTTCCACGGAAGTGGATCCCAGCATGATCAGCATCTGAGTATACAGTACTGGGAAGAGATTATCCGGCGATCTGACGAAAACCCAGCGTTGTATATGACGGCATGGACAGCTAGTCGCAAGCTAGCTCCGACTCTTCTCGACAAGGCAGTTGCTGAACTTGTGACGGCCCCGTCAAGTCCTTCGGAGAACTACATCAGCAAATTGGAGAAGCTTGCAAACTTGAATACTTCGGTAATCTGCAACCTTCGTCAAGGTTATAATGACCCTCGCCTCTGTTTGATAAGACTGTACTGCTTGAAGGGAGACCATTTCTCAGCTACTGTGCAAGCACAGGCTCGACTTTGCAGTGTATTCGACAAGTGGCCTGAAACTACAGATGACGATTCATTCCGGCTTCGTTTTGCGAACCTCGCCCAAACATTAACTGTTCTCGACAAAGATGAAGATGCTATTGCAGCGTGGCAAGCGATCGGGGCACCCAAATCGTTCAATACCTCATCTGTCGTTTCAGAGATCGTAGGTACTGTAGAGATCTCACAGCCAAGCTCTGGGGTATCTTCCACAAACGGTGTACCTGCAACTGTTGACAATAAGTCTGAAGACGTTGCAGAACTGTCCGCGTCGGCTACGAACACGACCAAGGCGTACATATCCGGTTATGGCTGCGACGGAAAGTGTGGGAAAGACTGGAGTGACATGTTAACTGATTGTTGGGTGTGCAAGCACTGCCTCTGCGTACAACTCTGCCCAGGATGTCATGAAAAGCTTCTGGCCAATGACCTACACCCTCTGGTCTGCAACAAGGACCACAAGATGCTGTTTTTACCGCCATTCGACTGGGATGCATGGCGCAGTAGGCCAGCAGAAATGATGACTGTTGGCCAGAAGTTAGTACCACGCGCAGAATGGGTGGACAAGATCTGCAAAGAGTTCAATGTGCAGCAGAACGAAATAGATCTGATCAAGATGGAGAAAGCCAGAGAATTGAAGGCTGCCAGTGTCATTGCGGTGCAATGGCGCAACAGATTACAGAGACTCAGGGCTAGAAAACAGGCGACAGCACCCAAACTTCGTCGAGTGAAGACAGTCGGATAGAAAGCTCATGCGATTTGTTGAATCTCCATCTTATCGTCTCTGAGAGCGGTGTCGCATGGGCCAGTCTTCTTCCTCTGAGACGATAAGATATAATCAACAAAAGCAAAGCGGTCTCTGGGCTCACGCAAATGATGGTGGCACACTACTGATCAGTCAAAGCTCGCATTTTGGTATTTCAGCCTCTCAGCTTCTCCATATCTCTCATTATATGCACCGCATCTTATTGACCATTTGACATCTGATGTAGTGAAGCATCGTAGTAGACCGGGAATAATATCGGTTGCGATGATGAGGTCATTAGGCAGTTCAGATTGTTACCCATTGGCCTGTAAGGGCCTGGACGCCTTGCGCATGCTCTACCCATGCCTGGCATCTTACCCTGCATGAACTTACCCTCTTTTCACATCTATTTGAGCCATGCATTAGTCTTGTTACACGAGTGACAAAGTCATGTGCGCTTTGCCACAGATAGGCCACCATGTCATCAGCATCGTTCACGATCCTCCTCGCTTGAACACAACTGCCCATTGCATTGGGTCGCGGTGGATATAACGGTGGTAGTGCATCTGTCGATGCGCCAAAAAGCGGTAACCCCTACATCTTCGCGGCGGACCGGGAGCTAGACGCCAACCTTCTTCGTCGCTCACGTATCGTTGAGGCCGGAGACGGGTTACACAACGAGCACGGCGCCGTGCAAAGCGAGTTTGGATACATTCTCAGCGTGGAACCAACAGTGAACAGAAAGCAACCCGCGCGAGCGAGCTTTGTGAGAAGAATTCTCTCCATCTTCAGAAAGACGGACAGGGCTAGTAGCAAAGTCAAGCCAAACATCAAGTGGGTGTCAGCGTCGCATCTTTATCATACAGCCCCTGAGGGCTTGGGCTTGGACCTGGCGAATAAATATCATCTGGAAAACCCGGAAGCACCAACACCTTGGGGTGATCAATACTGGAGGTACGAGTACAACTAGTCGAGTAAGAGTAGGGCCGCAAGCAGAGTGCAAAAATGCAACAAGAGAAGCATGCACCGAACTCGCCATGGCGACATCGGCGGTTTCCACCCGATGCTTCTTCCGAATTATTTCGGGACGATCAACTTCGGCAGCCAGTGCTCTCGCACGATTGGTGGAAGAGTCGGGTCGATTTCAATGCCTTCATCAACTCAATGGACGACAAGTCTTTTGGATATCTGTGTTTGATACGCGAATATGCGACACGCGCTCTGCAGGGTAAAGCTGCAGAATACAGTGGGCTATACAAGGCCATTGTGTCTCAAACGGCTCAAGAAGAAGACATGTCTCGTATGTCGGTCACCGAATTCGAGGCTGACGGGCTACGCTCGAGGACTTTTCTAACTTTTGACGACTTTTTGCTCTATATGCGTAAATCTTTCGAAGAAGGAGAGACGTCTTCGAGACACTTGTTCGTATTGGAAGACATGCCTGTGCGGTATATTTGTCTTCTAGGGTCAAGACTACGCATCCATCCTACGGTTTTTGCACACCATTATAGCACCGAGGAAAGTAGCACCCTATCAGACAACATCATTGGTCTTCCTTCTGTCGTCCAGACTAGTACGGAGAACGGCCTAGACTACGAGAGCAACGATGAACAGCTTCATAAGCCATATAAGAGACGAAGTTTCACGCTGAGGTATCCCATCGTCATGCCACGAGTGTCTTCAAAGCAAAATCCCGACCCAGTTAGATGCCCACCATGGCTCAAGCCTAACGACAGACTCAGAGACTAAAGCGCCAATCTACGATTCATAGTGCAGAGGAGCCTGGAAACACCGACCAGCTATGATCCATGGGATACGAGAGGCGAAATTTCTGAACTAGAAGGTCAGGTCACTTATTGGTACCGTGAGGTTGCAGAAAAGGGCTGGGAAGGTGAGTCTAATCTTGAGCTTCGTTCTTAGCTCAGTATACTTATAGTTGACTATGTAGGTCTTCTGCTGGTCGATCCATGCCTCAAAGACCCATCGCACCTAGCTGTTATTGATGGCAGCCCATACACGAATATCAGTCGAATAATCTGATATCCAGAGCTGGATGATGAGGAGAAAGCTGACATAGCCCTTGACCCGCCACAGTGGCATCCCAGTGCCGCCTTCACGAAGTATGTCTTGCACGACGATGTCATGATCCATTTTTGCGTCGCCAACGCTGGCCCAGGAGGGGATCCACTCTCCGTGACTCCATTCATCCGTGGCTTCTTGATTAGCAAATGGAATGCGCAGCTGAACCATATTCGCAGAAGCTATAGTCATACGCGTGCAGCGCTCTTTTCCAAAGTACCATCGTGTCATCGTGTAGGTACAGGCATTTCGGTCAGACGCACGGTGCTCTGGGGAGCAGACTGGAAAGAGTGGATGTTTGAAAAAATGACGCGGTTTACGACGGACCTTTACCTATACCGTTTGGAGGTTGAAACCAACATGCGTGCACTCGGTATCGATGTCGACGACCCACAAAGCTATGGATTCGTCGGTAAACGCGAGGCACAAATGTGGCAGTTTCTGCGTTCCACCTGTCTCGATTTGCAGGATATGTTCCAACAACTGACCAACTCATATACACAAGTTATTGCGCTGAGGGAGGCGCAGGCGAGTAATGCGCAAGCAAGCTCGATTCGCTGGCTCACTGTACTGGGAACCCTCTTTGTTCCTATATCAATCCTTGCAGGAATCATGTCAATGGGAGGCGAGGTTTTGCCGGGAGAAAGGAAGTTCTGGGTGTTCTTCGCTGTGGTCTGCCCTGTGTTGTTGATCATTGGCGCCGTTCTTATTGGGACATTGGGGCGGCGGGCAGTGTCGAATTGGTTATGTGCTCACGGCTTCATGACTTGACGTGACAAGAGGTCGAAAGCATCTCTAGTGTGTTGTCTCCGCAACATTGTACCAGGTGTCAGGCTTTGTTTAGTTCCAGTATTGTCAGAAAGACGGTATACCAATCTTTGTGTACACAATCATACCCACCCAAGCCGCTTACCCAGGAAACTTGATCCACCAAGGAGTGCTGTAATACCAGTGAACACGATTAGCGTGCCATAGCCACTATCATACGCAAAGCCAGCTTCCCCACGCCACGGAAAGCCATCGATCAAGGCCTCGCTGAGCGGACCCGACGCCACGTTGCCAACTCCTCGTCCTGCCGCCAGGCATGCGAAAACGATACTCGGATCGGCTGTGTCGCTCTTCTTGGTAACATCGCGCATGATTCCCGGCCAGGCGCTCGTGAAACTCCCTGCGAAGAAGCCGTAGATGAGGCAGAATATGTACAGTGGAGCCAGGGAATCGGAGAAGCCCCAGACGACGAAGACGCTGATGGTGGTGCCGATAGTCGAGATTAGAATGCAGGTTGTGACGTGCCATTTGTCTACGATCGAACCCATGGCGACGCAGCCGAAGACAGAGGCGATGTTGAAAAGGATCACAGTCAAGGCGCTAAGGGTGTTACTCTCGACGCCTATGCTGCGAGCAAACGTAGGGAGGTAGATAGACGGGAGAAAGAAGCCGAGAGCTTCGACAACGTTGCATGCTTGATGAACACCGAACGTTGACGTGCGAAGAAAGGCGAAGTCGATTTTGCGGGCGCGTTGCTTGGACCCAGGTGGGATACGTGGTCTAACGAAGTGGAGTAGCGGGGCGGTGAGCATGAACAGACAGATAGCCCATACGCGTAAGGTGGTGCGAAAGCCGTATCTGTGCAGCATCCAGTCCATGACAAGAGGTAGTATCACCCCAGCCAGGCCGGTGCCCGCCCACATGATTCCATATGCCAAACCCTTCCGCTTGTCGAACCACTCATCCATGTACAGAATACAAGGCGAGTAAGTCAAACTGCCTCCGAGGGCATATATGACTCCTTGTGAGACTATGAGCTCGGTAGTGTTGTTGCAGAGGGAGCTGAGGCCGAGGGCAAGACACATGACGAACAGACCGCCTGCCGTAGCCCAACGCTGAAGATGCGGCCATACTTTCAGCATGGAGAAGATGACGATTAGGTTGAGGTACATGATACCCTATCACGAGTGAGTGAAGCACGAGGTTCAAGCTAGCATATGACATACCATAGCGCAGGAGCCAACGACAGCAATGTTGTCGGAGCCAGCGAAAGGCTCGTGGGTCAAATAGTACTCCTGAAACACGCCATATGAGAACGGGAAGCCTTACTCGCATTAGCACTATCCTCTCTGATACGCATGTAGAGTGGAGCACGCGCTCAGCAGGAAGACCTACCCCACACCAGTGCTTCTACAACGAATGCTGCAGCCAGAAATAACCATGCACCTTTTCCACCATCCACGGGTGGTAGCGAGACTTGCCCTTGCTCGGGAGCATGTTCTCCCCGATCTGCAAGCTCGAGATTAGAAGAAGCTAGAGTACTCATCGTAACTGCTGAATGTTTGAGTATGCGACGTGAGAGACATAGTCGCTTTTGTATCGTTGGAATACTGGCCCCGGCGCTAGACTGTAGAAGTTACATGTAGGGCGCGTTTGCTTGCTTTTGAGGCCCGTGCTAAGCTGTCTCAGCCACACCCTACGTGTCAAAGCAATCGAATGGCATATCAGAGAGATGGCGGAGACGCAGTATGGCTTACGTGGGTCCGAGTCTTGCCATAGATGCGACAATGCGGTGCGCGACAAGAAGGGCCTCGTTAGCTCCTCGTTCGGAGAAATCGAGAAGCTTATGGTGCGCTGTGCGTACACGATCCTAGACCAGGTGCCGGTTGTTCAGCGACGCCGCTGGCGCTCCATGACTGAGTTAGCTGACTGAGACCGACAAGACGTACCTTCTACAAATCGTCGTTCGAGCCGCCCAAGAGCCCTGCCACCTTGCTCTTGTAACGAGGGCTCCGCTCGGCTCGAGGTTGCATGTCCAACTGCTAGCCTGTCTCTTTGCGGTATTGGTACATATCTGCCCTGCGTCTACAAGTACAGTGTACCGAACACGTTAACGGATCTGGGAGCGTTAAAGCCGGTGATGCTGACGCAAGAACGAATTCTCACATACGTGACCCCCATGATCATGACCATCTGACACCAGGCAGATAAACAGGGGAAACGCGAGTATTCCCGTTCTTCAATAAGTGAGACAAAACCTCAAGATCATATACTAAGCTTTCACATCTATACGTGTTCTGTCAAAACATCTTTAAAATGTTGTCACTGGTTAACGTCTTCCGTACGTTTCATGTATGCACACCAAAACTGAGCCAGCTACTCTGAAAAAGACCGCGGACGCCGTCAAAGCCCTGCTAATATCAATGCAGCTATCCCATCTACCATCAAATCTTGCTCCATCGCATTCTCGACTAGTCCTCGTGAGCGGTTGAGAAGCTTCGCTTGGGGACGCCACGCGGGGTACTAAAAGCTTAGCCAGTTAGACCATCGTGAAATCGATAGAAGACTGCATAGGCCAGACGAGACTGCTCGATACACAGCTGAACCTTGCGCTACGGCAGAATGCATTGCTACAACAAATTAACATGGCGACAGTGCTGGCTTTGCTTAGGCCGACACTAGATATCGGATGCCTGATCAGGTATATAGCAACTCAGATGCTTGCGTAATCTTCTCGTTTGAAGCGCTTCCAAGTCGTAGCTGTTCACTATGCATGTCACTTACTTTAACATTTTCTTCGCCCTCGCACTTACAGCGAGTGGTATACCCACACCTCCCAAGTCTTGTTACCTACCAAAGCGTCTGATCGCGCTTGAAGAGCATGTCACGTCGCCATCTTTGGAAGCTGAGGTGGTTGCCGCAGGCATAGTACAGCGCTACCCCGGTGTACTGGAAAAGCTTAAGGACGTTGGAGCCGGTCGACTCGCTGCTATGGATGCCGGCCACTTGTCTATGCAAGTCCTTGCCCAGCAGTCTGCCACGGGTTTGGACGACCCCGAAGGATGTCGCGCAGCAAATGATGCTGTTCGCTCAGCAATCAGAGCCAACCCTAAGCGCTTTGCTGGCTTTGCCGTCCTGCCTATGTCGCTGCCGGAAGAGGCTGCTGCGGAGTTGAAGCGCAGCGTTACAACGCTTGGTTTCAAGGGTGCGATGATATGGAATCACCTCAAAGACGGCACGTACTACGACGCTGCACGCTTCGATCCAGTCTTTGCAATGGCGCAGGAACTTGATGTACCGCTGTACCTGCACCCTGCCGCGCCGACTGCCGATATTGCGTCCAAGCTGTTCGCCGGAAACTACCCTGCTGCCGTGGCTGGGCGGCTTGGGACGAACTCGTGGGGATGGCACGTCGATGTCGGGACGCATGTCTTACGGCTTTACAGCGCAGGCTTATTCGATCGATTTCCAAAGCTGAAATTGATCATCGGACATAACGATGAAGGACTGCCGATGTTCATTGATCGAATCGACTCGACAGGTTTGCGTAACGATACGACGTTCGGTCGGGTGTGGAGTACAAACATCTGGAGCACGACGAGTGCTTTCTTCACTGTGAGGCAGTTTGAGCAATTGAGGCAGGTAAGCCCAGTTGAGAGGATTATGTATTCGGTCGATTACCCATTCAGTACGAATACAGATGGATGGGCATTCGTCGAGAAGTTGGCGCAGGCGCAGGTCTTGACTGACGCTGAGATGGATATGTTCGCGTGGAAGAATGCTGAAACATTGTTGAAGTTGTGACGGATTGGTGCGATAGAATCAGCGATCTAATTGAGCGATGAAATGGCAATTATTGAAGACGAATATGTATTGAAGCTGATAGAAGGGGTCGATGATGCAATCTTGGACCCCATGTTCGAATCGCGCTTATACATAACAGGAGTAGCTTCTCAATTAGCGCGACGCGCCCCCCATTCCAACGCGTCTCCTCGAATGTCGTTCTCGAGCTCGTCAATAGTTCAGCTCCACCCGCCTGCCGTCTCCAGCATCGATGTGGCATCAACCTAGCGCTTAAATATCCTCAGGTCCTGCAAGGCCCAGTGCTTGCCTACGAGTCGGCGCATCCGCCTTGAAGAACGGCTTCTCTGCCAGCGACGTTACCCTCGTTCCGTGCCTTGGCTCAATCCCTCCATAGTCCCAGCTCGCATTATGGATGGTGATTCTGTTGTCCCATAATGCAGAGGTTCCCGGAGTCCATCGGAATCGCACCTGGATATCGACGTTGTTCTCGTATACATCGAATAGATAGTTGAGAATGGCATCACTCTCGGCCTTATCGAGTCCGACAATGCGGTCGGTGAATGCGCGGTTGACCCAAAGAGCTTTCCATCCGGTTGCTGGATGCACACGGACGATTGGATGAACGCGTTCGATGTGCTTCGGGCCAGCGCTAGTATTCTCACGATCAAGATACGGGTGCGCGCTGCGATACACTGCTTCTCTGCCGTCGATGATCTTCCGGAACTCTGGAGAAAGCTTCTCATACGCGGCGTAGCCTGAAGCCCAAAGAGTGTCGCCTCCAATCTTTGGAATAGTATCGTTGTGGAGATGAGTCACGCTAAAACGAGTCAGGAATGAGGCGCTTCATCTGAAATAGTACCACTTACCCGGCGGGCTGGCGTTCGTGCACCAGATCGGTGTGCCACCTGGACGCTCCGCCTGTCTTCCTGAAGCTTGCTGGCACCTCGGTAGCCTGAAGAGCAGGCCAAAGAACGGTCACTCCTGGTACACCGGGTACGAAGGGAACTTGCGGCTTCATCTGCTGTCAGCATGGCAACTATAGCACGAGCGGTACAACTTACGTGAACCTCGATTTCGCCATAGTACTCGCCAAGCTTCTTTTGTTCTTGGGGCGAGAGGTCTTGGTCACGAAAGAACACTACACTTCTTTCGGCGATCAAAAGACCAAGCTCATCCTTTTGTTGGTCTGTAAGGTCCTTCAGTTGAAGTCCAACAATCTCCGTTCCAATGTGTGAGGTCAAGTGGATAATCTCCTTTGCAGCGCCGAACAGCGCCTTCTTCTCTGGGTCAGCTCGAGAACCTGGATCAATGTGCTCACGATCATAATCCCTGATCTTGTACACATCGTCAAGATAGAGTGGTTTCGCTGGCCTGTATGGATAGCCGGCCGATAAATCGATACCAGCTTTCTCAAGCCTCTTCCTGGCAGGTTCTGGTAACCCTAAAGAGTCTTTCCGTGGTTGAACAGTATCCTTCTCCTGGATGTGCTCGTGAACAGGAATTGCGATTGGAGCCATGATGAAAGTCGTTTGTGATGCAGTTGTGCAAACATCACCACTCGCGTTGCCATCATTCTTATATCCTGGACTCGTTTTACCCCACTTCCTGCTCGTTGTTCGCTCACTAATTCAAGTTACAAAAATGGTCGAGCGATATGGCGGCGTCGCGTGCTGGTTGCGACATGTGTTGCGGGGTTGATCACATCATAATTTTGCAGATGACGAATATCCAGTCAACGTTTCTCATGTTATCGCTCGGAGAAACTTCGCTTCACCCCAAGTGCACCAAACTGTGGAGTTCGCATGTTACCCGCAGGTAAATGTGTCGGTTCCGACTGTCTGTTGTTCTCGTAACGAGGGCTTCCCATGATGCCATTCGTATCCACCATCACGCGTTGTGTCTACTCACACCACAACGGAGATATGCTCAACGCTGACAAACTATGTAACGAGAATTTGCACGAAGAATGCTGACATGTAGATGCCTTTCGATGTCGGTTCCAAGAAGGTGTGTCGAAGTGACCGTCGGTTAATGATTCCGGGTCGATACAACACCCAGACTGCGAGGATTTTCCTGCTGTTGTCTCCCCAATATCCAGAGCATGCCTTTCCCGAGTAACCGTGTTGCTGTAATCGGCGCAGGCATTAGTGGTGTCGTTGCTGCAGCGCATCTCAAGAAGGAGGGCATTGAGGTCGTAGTCTTTGAGCGATCTAGTGCTGCAGGAGGCATATGGTACTTGACCCGAAAATCTTGAATTTCCAGCTGAACTGACTAGATGAAAGGCGTTACGACGAGCGAAAGCCCTTGGAGCCATCATATTCAAGTGCGAGGCGTTCGAGAGCTGACAGTGTTCACGCAAGCGAAGACCTGGAAGATGTCGAAAGCCTGCTTCATGCGCCACCAGGGTACGTACCACAAGAATATCTATTGAATTGTACGTTCGAATGACTTCCCACAGTCCGTGTTACGTGGGCCTCAAGAACAACGTGAGTACACGTTTGTTAGAAACCACCTTGAACCAGTTTCCACCCGGGACCGAGGATTATGTAACGCACGATGTCTTGTGCGACTACATACAGGCTACTACTCTCTCAACGGGGGTGCATGAGTTGACACAGTACGACACCGATGTGAGAAGCGTCACCAAGAACGGTAGATCATGGACTGTCGAGACTGCGACTTTGCAGACCGATGCGCAAGGTGTGTTAAGGCGACACGAATCTTCCCAGGTAAGCACCTTGTGATTGTAGACTCATCTTCGCGATAATAACCTTGGGCTAGAACTTTGATGCTGTAGTAGTTGCATCTGGTCATTACCACGCGCCGAGGATTCCTGATACGCATGGACTCGCAGACTGGAAACGACAATTTGCCGACAGAGTACAGCACTCCAAACTTTATCGAAAGCCCGAGAATGCTCATAACAAGGTGCGTACAGATCCGATTAAGAAGGGTTATGTTATCTCGGCCTGACTTTACTCCAGAACTATCTACTTGTCGGTGGGAGTGTGTCAGCAACGGATATCGCGCGCGAGCTCAGCCCGTATGCAAACAAGATCATACAAAGCCAAAGGAACGGAAAATTCGACCTGCCTCCAAGCATGCTCCCAGATAACGCGTACCGCGTCGATGAGATAGTATCGTACGACGAACCACGAGTGAACACATTAGCCTCACTGAAGGACACTCAGCCGATTCCAGCTACCGTCACGCTGAAGTCAGGTGCAAAGATCTGTGACATTCATCATGTCATACTTTGCACAGGTTACCACCTAACACTGCCTTTCCTATCTCAGCTCACCTCGGACGAGACACCAGTCGATCAGGCCGACGATACGCTACTAGTGACAGACGGTACACAGTTTCACAATCTGCACAAAGACATCTTCTTCATCAATGATCCAACGCTCGCCTTTGTCGGTGTGCCGTTCTTCACAGCGACGTTCACGTTGTTCGAATTCCAAGCCATGGTTGTTGCAAAGGTACTCTCGGGACAGGCAAAGCTTCCAAGCAAAGATGCGATGAGATTAGAATATAATGTCCGAGTTGAGACCAAGGGTTATGGCAAGGCATTTCATAGTTTGAGAGACCAGGAAGCGAGCTATGTTAAAGAACTCATAGCTTGGGTAAACTCTGATTTGGAAAAAGCAGGCAAAGAGCGACTGCGTGGGCATTCTGATAAATGGCATTCTGCGAAAGCAGAGCAGGTGGAGAGGATGAAAGCTTTCTTTGCCAATCCAGGCATTGAACGGCAACTCGAAGCGACATGTTTATAGCAGAATGTATGAATGTGAGCAATTTCGCAGTTCCACGTAGCAATGTGCCCACGGGTTCTGAACCACAAACGCGCCCATGACTTCATGCTGCTCCAATGCCTAGATCAAGACTAAGACTTGCGCAGATACTATTCAGGTATCACCAAAGTGCATGAGAGGCATTACAAACATCGGCGTTACTCGCTTGGCTATCACCTGAGTCAGGCACGCCATATGCATGCCTGATCACGACACGCGACACCACAGCATTGCCATGCATCGCGGCGATCTTCTCACATCTTAGCATCAGACACGCAATATTAGTTTATGCTTGTTGGGTCCAGGCTAGCTACGCGGATGAATCGACCCCACGCGGACCCTGCCATTACGCCATAGCATCCCCAGTATGTCGAATCGCGCTACGCTTCCCACTATGCAGCAACCACTTGCCACTGGCGTGCTGAACGCCATGCCGGCAAGCAAAAGCCGTAGACAGTCTTATCGATTGCAGAGAGGGCTTGTGTTGCTTGCTCGATAAAGCTGAGGCTTTCGCCAATACTCTTACCCTAGAGACACGCTTCATACCGATAGTCCACGAACATGGGTCAACCTCAAGACGTCTCGACGGAAGTCAACCCTGCAATAACGGTCATTCGGTCTGACGAAGAGCTGAAAGCGAAGCCGCACAAGTGGTATTACTACCTTTGGGATACCCTGGACAAGCCGAAAGAAGAACGATGGTTCATGTTCAAGCTCGACGCTGCTTTGCTCACTTTTGCGTCTTTGGGGTACTTTATCAAGTACCTCGATCAGTCGAACATCAACAGCGCCTTCGTGTCTGGAATGTATGTAGCAAGAACTTGTTGTGGAAAACTGGCTGATATTGCGACAGGAAGGAGGATCTTGGGCTTTACGGCAACCAGCTCAACTACATGCAAACCTGCTGGACTGTTGGCTATGTCATCGGCGAATTACCCAGCAACATCATCCTGACTCGAGTGCGCCCATCAATTTGGATTCCAGCTATGGAGGTATGACAGCCTAGTAACGCGGTTGTGGAAACTATGTACTAACAGCAACAGCTTACATGGGCCGTCTTGACATTCTGTCTTTGCCGCGCGAACAACGCAGAAACCATCTATGCCTTGCGCTTTCTTATAGGTCTTGCTGAAAGCACATTCTATCCAGGCATGCAATACATCATCGGGTCCTGGTATCGAAGGGAAGAACTTGCCAAAAGATCTTGTATCTTCCACACCAGCGGTGCCATCGCGACAATGTTCTCTGGATACCTGATGGCTGGTGTATACAAGCTCGATGGACGCGGCGGCTTCAAGGGATGGCAGTGGCTGTTCATTATCGATGGTGTCATCTCCTTACCTATCGCATTGCTTGGCTTCTTCGCACTACCCGATCTTCCCGAAATCTCCAAGCCCTTCTATTTGACGAAGGATGAAGTCGCATTCGCCCAGAAGCGCATGGAGCTCGAAGGCCGGCAAAAGCGGAAGCCTTACACCAGAGCCAAGGTCAAGAAGATCTTTACATCGTGGCATATCTGGGCTCTCGTTCCGCTCTATGTGTTCTTCAACAACGGTACCTCGGGTGGACAACCGGTATTCCAGCAGTTCCTCAAAGCCAGCAAGGACCCGAAGTATACCGTCAGCGAGATCAACACTGTAAGTACTGCTATACCATCGTTTTGTTGAAGCTTTCGTTAACATGGTTCGCAGTACCCAACTACCACCAATGCAGTACAAGTCGTTACCACACTCTTGTATGCATGGACGAGCGATAGTATCCTCAAAGGATCCAGATGGCAACCGATCGTCTTCGGTGGATGCATGAACATCATATGCTCTACTAGTCTTGCGATTTGGGATATCCCCATCAAGTGGAAGTGGGCTTGCTACATTCTCTCCGGCTTTGGTGGTGGTCTTTCCGGCTTATGTTTTGCATGGGCTCATGAGATCTGCACACACGACAACGAGGAACGAGCTATTGTCGTGGCAGCTATGAATGAGATGGCTTATGTGCTACAGGCATGGCTACCACTTCTGGTTTGGAAGCAGGTTGAGGCACCTCAGTATCGCAAGGGTTTCATCACGGTCACATTCTTGAGCGCTGCGTTGATTGCCACTGCGCTTATAATTCGGCTACTGCACGCGAGAGAGGTGGCCAAGAGACAGCATGCCCAGACAGTTGATTACGATGAACGAACTAGTTCTGATGAGGAGTTGTCCGGGACGGCTAGTGATCCCGAACTTAGTGGTGTCAAGGCCCTGTAAGTGATGTGGTCGTTACCTGTTAGATAGAGAATCATTGGAGGGTTATAGTCACGTCACGGTTGGAGAATGAATCGTTTAGGTTAGTCACAAACGATAGGATGAAACCAAGAAGAAATAGGGTCATCATTCTGTACCAGTGGAGGTAGCTCATCATAACCGCATAGTCGACGCCATACTCACTCAGTTTCATAACCTTGCTTTCTTCAGAGCGGATGTTCCCAGCCAGAGTGTCGATTCGATACCAAATGAGCCAAAAGAGCGCTTTCCACCATCAATGTCCTCACTCGTCTCAATAATCAGGTCAGAGAACCCAATACCCCGAGTTTTCTTTCTTTCCAAATCATATTCGCTTCGTGCAGCGCGCACAATCACCTTGGCTCTAGCAAGCCCTTCCGGGCGACTTATATCAAGCGCAGCGTCTCCATCTGTGCCCTTGGACAAGGTATCGTTGACTGCACCCATACACTCTTCTGCAGGTATGGTCGTGCTTGTCAAGGCGAAATCGATCAATCCGTCCTGTTTGGGTCCCCACACTCTCATAGGTTTGGTTTTGTCATCAAGTGAAGGTGGCGTGTCATACCAGTTGAAAAGCTCCAAATAGGTGCCATCGGAGAAAATGATTAGTTTATTGCGCGAGGCCTGGCCGTTATACTTTCCGCCCTCGATGATAGTAAAGTTGGTGGTGAGCCACTCAGGCAGGTTTTCGAAGAATGGGGTAGGTACACGAAGAACGATGTGACCGAATTCTGTTCTGGTCATCTTGGGGTAGTACATGGTTGGAGTGATGTTGAATGTAGAGTGTGGTGAACGGCGAATGTGACAGGTCTTTATACCTGTCCATCGCGCACAACGATGGTTCGGTCGCGAGCAGCTTATTGTGAGCGTCTTCCACATACTGCATGCATACATGCGACAAGTTCCATACGGCGCTCGCTTTGGAGATCTAACACCCTGTCTGTTGCAACAAAAAGTGCAGGCGACTGCAGCCAAGCAATTGCACACGAACTTGTTCACCGGCGATCGATTTGAGGTGCAGCGTAAGATAGTCCAATGACGCGCCGCTGTACACGGGTGACCTAGTGAATTGAAGAATCGATTGGAGGAACTTTCGGGAAGCGGGGAACTTCCACCTGTGCATACGCACACGAGTGGGGCTTTGGCAATGTGGTGTGGTATGGAGGATATTGCGCTCTCAACTGTAGCATTTTGTACTCAGGTGCTCGCGGTGCTCTAACACCGTTCGCTACCTAAGCTAAATATGCTAAATTACAACCTTAGTCGTAATCTAACTTCCTAATAGGCGGCTAACCCTTCTCCGAACTCTTAAACATGTAGCAACCGAAGTAGCAAATGAATGCACGCAGCACTATGTCTTGCTTGCATTTCCGTGCTTAGACGATCAAGATATTTACCATCTTCATCCCAGCGACCTGCTGTCAAAGTTCGAGCGAACTTCTCTGGAGACGATTCGACGTCTATTCGTTCGAAATTGTCGATATATGGATGTCTGTCAGTTGGGTCATAACCGGAGTTGATGTCCGTGCCATCAGGAACCATCTCGTAGGCATTCTCGTTATTACTGTCGAACTTGGGGTCGCCAGCATACTCGGGGTCCTTCAGATTATAGTAGTCCATGATTCTGCCAACCTCATCTACTCTGCCGTATATTACACCCTTGAGGTAGAGCTGTGCGGGTTCACTGGGTTTCTCGACGATCACAGCAGTCGAGTTTTTCCCACACGCACTCCAAGGACAATCCGCGTCGTCAATACCCAACTTCTCCGCAAATCCTATACGATCCCACCGCGGAGCCCATGACCTGTACTCTGATATCTCTTTGAAGTCCTTGCAGTCTTTGTAGTCCCCGGGCCCCGGGCCATCGTAACTCACAGGATGTGTAATACGAGCGAAGGCCGTCAACCGCGAGTATAGTTGGATGTCGGTAAGAACAGTGTCGGCATATACTTTTCCAACGCTCTTGCTGTAATTGATATCAAGGGCGTCTACTTCAAACCTTGGTGAGACCAGATTCAGGAGACCATATACTTTGTCCTTTGGGTCAGTAGCCTGAAACCCAACGCGAAAGCGATCCAACGCATCTGGAAGTTGGTACATGATCTTATCGCGCAGGATATCTGCGTTGTCGACAGGGAGATCGGTGAGTAAAGATGTAACAGGGTCGCTGCGATCCCTCAATTGCTTTTGTTGAAGACCCACGACGCGCTTACAGTGAAATCTGTCCACAAGATCTCATCATCTCCCCACATCACAAGGGCGTCCCTAGCTAAGCGGATCTCTTGAATACACCAGATTCTAGAGAACTAGGGCTGAATGAACAACTCCCGCAGGCTGCTAAGCGCGGAAGAATCGAACCAACTCTCTGGTAGGGACAGCTCGCCATGCCTTTCCGGATCGTTGAGATCTCTCCCATGAAGATGATCAAACTCGTAACAAGCAATAGCAATGCGTTCGCTACACTCAAAAGCTGGTCGAGTATGCTGCACGTCCCCTGGCCCTAACCATACAGCATCCGTTTTCGCCAATGAATAGAGGCTGCCCATTAGGGGTACTTGATGGCTCTTCTCTGCGTCATCCTGCTGGTTGATACAAACCGCATCCGCCCAGACGATGCGTTTGGAGTGTCGTAGGCGCATCTCCTCAACGCGTACGAAAGTTCTGACCCAATCTCGACTGTTTGCCCATTACATAGAATCTCAACAGATGGGGTAGGACTGCCCCATACATAAGACAACACTTCGTATAGGGGAGCAACATTGATGTTGTAAAGGTGACAAGTGCACTCCAGCTGTTGATGCGGATCGATAGCAGGAAGAATACGGAGAAGTCTGAATTTACGGCCGTTCGAGATCCGTTGCGCATAGTACAGAGGACCAGTCATCAGCTGATCCGCAAAGGGCGAATGTGGGACGTAATTTGGAAAGTAAGTACAGAGGCTGGACACGGGCGAACGATCCTAGGTACATTTTAGCCATGTTATGAAGGATTCGTTGAAGTATCGCAATATGGTGCGTGCGTTTCGCATGAATTATTGGGTGGCTGGGGAGGTTCACCGAGCCACAGTGGCAAGTACACCTTGTGAGGCTCTCCTGCTGTGTTTCGCAGAGTCGCTGCCTGCACTGAAATCCTGGTTTGTACGCATGAGGAAGCCCGGAGGACGCCGATGACGTACATGCCCTCGAGACGAGCTTTGCGAAGATGGGGAAAGGAAGAGATGCATCATGTGGAAGAGTAATAAGTCGCACTGCGATAAGACCTCGGTAATTCGCCGTAAGCGTAGCTAGTCTGTGACATATTGACACTAAGGATGAGGATTTATTGCTGCGCCTATGGTGGTGGTGAGCTGAGAGACGCGCCAAGCCACGCCATCAACCGTGGCTTCAACCGTAGCTTCGTTTCTGCCGCTGTCATCACCTACCTCGGTTGAAACACGAACCTTGAGCAACTGCCGAACTACAACGAACCGATCTACTTCATAACCTCCTGTCGCTACTGTTTGAGGACTTTGTAAGGTGTCTCAGTCAAAGGCATCCCAATCGAGTCATATTCAACCATCATTCCGCCCCCAATCTCCACGAGCCGAGTACACGGGATACGGCCCACTTCTTTCATACTATAGCACGTGCACCGTTCAAGGCTGTTCCCTGGGCTTGGAATGCACCAATGTTTCCGATTATCCCTGCAATTACGGGAGCTTACTATAGGGTTGTTCTACGATGTTCGGCTACACGTCCAGCCTTATCTCTGGTGCCCCTGTGCTAGCTAAGGCAAGTTCGTCAAATCAAGCGAGCTACCTGCCTCTTTGCGGACCTCCATCACCACACGTCAAGCACCTTCGTAATTGCTGCATGATTGAGTGACTTTCATTGGTTCTCAGTCGGAGAATCCATCTGGCTTTCTTCATGTCGCCGACCTTCACCGTTTTACCCAACAATGCGATCGACATCTCAATACCGAAATGGATCATGTTTCGGACCATGAGAGAGAATATGGTAAGAACGCATGGGTCTCTCAACGGTTTTGCGTCCACGTGTGGTGCCGTGGGAACCATAGGGAGATCAGTACGATCTTCGCACCCACCCACATAGGTGGAGATGCTGACTACACCATATGGCAAGAATGAAATGCGCAACCTGCCAACACTGCGCATACCTTTCGCTGGACAGGCGTGTTTATGCTGCGTGACCAAAGTTGGTTAATTTAATGATAGTACGATATTCTCGTCGCCTATTGCGAAGGATCCCGTCCAAAAGATGGCACGAAAAGCCACATAACGATGGAAACGCCTGGATGTTTTCAGCCGCACAAAAGCGTACATTGTCTGGGCCAGTCGCGATTCTCGGGCGGTGGTGTCGTTTCAAGCAGGTGGCAGGAAAGCGCCACTCACACTATGCAAGGGACGTGCATAGCTCACTTCAAGTAAGTTTCACGTCCTGCTCCTACAGGCCGCGGGGTAGCTGGTGTGTATGCCGGCTCTTGCTTCAAGCATGCCGGTTATAATAGCCGCGGGCGCTCCCGACTATTCAGGATTGCTTTTGTGCTATCCGCGGGCCACCCATGTGGTTGTTGTGACTCTTTGCGCCTGGGTAAACACGACATGACTTCAAGATTTCCAACGCCAGAAGAGTTCGCATCGTTTCCACCGCCCAACTATGTCGACCCAGTTAATCAGTTGCCACTGGCGATGGCCGTGCTGATTCCTATGACTGTTCTGGTCATTGGTTTCGTCTCTTGTCGATTCTATTGCCGAACAGTTCTTGTCAATACACTGGGTTGGGATGACTGGGCGATGATGGTAGCAGCTGTAAGTATTACACCTTCTATTCCGGCGAATGAAGCGCAGAGTACTAACGTATCCAGGTGATGTCTGTTGGAAGTAACATCATGCTCATAATATCGATGCTGCCAGAATATCAGATGGGGTACCACCTATGTGGGTAAATTGTGATCATACAGATGCACAACAGCTTACACTAAGCAGGGGATATTCGTCCATCGCGCCTTTTCGGGACGATGAAGTCCGCACAGGTATGATACACGACCCGATGTGGCACCCATACTAACAGCGATCCAGATGGGCATGTCCAGCCAGTTGCTCTTTACAGCTATTATCACTTTTATGAAGGTCGCGATTCTTCTCACCTACATCCGCATATTCCCATCGAAATTAGACAAGTGGTTTTGCCGTTTGATGATCTTCTACACGGTGTCTTTGAACACGGCCTGCTTCTTCATCACCTTGTTCCAATGCTCGTAAGCACATACCTCCAACCAACCTACTACCAAGTGGGCTGACAATTAGTCCAGGCCGGCAAGCACCTACTGGGAGATCTTTAAATACATCGGCACAGCTAAATGCCTCAATATCAAGGCCATCTACTACTTCCATTCGGCACAAAATACTTTCAGCGACTTTGTCATATTTCTGTGGCCTGCAAGGAACCTTATGAACGTCCAGGTATCGCTTCGTCAGCGCGTGACATTGATAAGCATGTTTTCACTAGGTGTTATGTGAGTCCACCGTTCTCGATGATCCTGATCGGCATTAACATATGAGCAGTGTTTGCATTGCCGGTGTCGTGCGCCTGTACTATACCCATCAATATTTGGTATCCTTCGATGTATTCTGTATGTATCGCCCGAACTCGAGTTGCAACAACAGCCGGCTGACATTACGCACAGGGTATGGAGCCACCACATTCATTATCATGTCGGTGGAAAGTGGTGTCGGTGTCGTGTGCGGCTGCCTCCCAGGTTGCAAACCCCTCATGAACAAGATGTTCCCTCGCGTCTTCGGCAACACCTCCCAGTCGTCGTCCCGTCGTCGCCCATCGACAAACTTCCTTTCGGGAAAGTTATCGTCTTCTTCGGCAGCAAAGTCTGAGCAGGAATCATATCGCATGCAAACTCTCCAATCCCGTCCCGATAATCGACGCGGTGTAACCATGGAAAAGCGATCGCCGCCAGACGTTGAGAAGCAGCTACCTGCGCCTCCACAACCGTCGCACCGGGGCCTGCGCCCACCCAGCCGAACAACATTCACCAGCAGGAGACAGGCTGAAGCGTACAGGGAGCTACAACGCAATGGGAGCGACTCGAGTATAGAAATCTTCCTTTTGCAGCGTAATTAAAACTTGTATATTGTGTATGAGAAAGAGAAAATAGATCCAGACGGAAACGGTAAAATGCACACGCTGCAAGAAAGCGTGGCTTACACCAAAAACGATGTTCTGATTCCAAATATGCCACCGACATCATGAGCAACATCTCTTTGGTCCGGTTCGTCTGCATCGTCCCCATATCCATTGCGGGCGCTAGGAGATTGTTGACCCCACCTTCGACTGCACAAATAACGACGCGTCGCGTGTCAAACGGGTCTGCGGGAGGGCGGCTCGCGTGCAGTGTACCCCACTTCGCGTGCTTGTAACCCCGCCTCGCTGCGTCTTCTCGTTTCGTCATCGCATCTGGTGCTTGATGCCTAGCGAATAATCCATCGACACATTGAGTTGCATGCTGGAGCGGCATGCACCTAACACTAAAGATTGGTCCCCTAACTAAGCCTGATGTGCAAATACAGTATTCGCTGAAGGTGCTCATAGAGTTCTAGGATGATAAGCTAGTAAGATGTATTACTACGTATATCTCTACCTATGTTGTCGGTCGAAACTCTAACATAATCATCCACGTATGCACAAAACGGTCGTTTCAAAAAATGGAAATGTCTCTTTGTTGCCATCGATCGTCGTCTTCGACGTACGTATCCAATTGAAAGGTGCCGACGCGCGTGTACTTTTTTATGCTGCTTGGTTTCGCTTTCAATATCAGCCCCTTGCCGAGAGTGATCTTAGCTAGTAGTACTGCATGATCTCCTGTAGTGAACTCATCCCATCGACCCGAAATATCGCTCCACTCTTTTCCAGATTCGGGATCTATGAAGAGTAGAAGTGGAAAGAACTGCTCTGAATCTTCTTGTACTGTCATCGACCACGAATTATCGACTGAGTTTGTCGGCCACCATGGTGAAGACGGGCTCTTATGTCTAGTGACCCTAGCATGAAGCGTCAATGTTCGGAGGCTGATGTTAGCGTCAACAATGT